TTAAAAGTTGAACAGAACCCCACACAGCTCAGTGGAAATTGACTTTATTTGTACATGTTCAGTAAAACTCAAACCGTTCATATTTCCTTTTGATTATAATACTTATGAACCGTTCAAAACAAAGCAACTTTTGGCAACTTACCACATACGTTTTAAAAGCTTAATAAGCACCGTAACTTTCATGATATAATTTCTCCGTCACAATCATGTTGTTCCGTGAACGGCCGACGTTGTGTGACGGGCAAATGCTGCGCTTGCAAGGCATTGGTTGAGGCAGCATTTCCTCCTCCCATTCGGTAGGGAGGGTCCAGTGGTTCCTAAGCTAAAGGAGGTTATAAAGGAGTTTGAAACCTCCTTTCCTTTTCATTTGAAAATTGCGGACGCACTTTACATAACAACACACTGACACACACACATTTCCACTTGGTTATGCGAAGGTCCTAGCTAAAAACAAGGAAACACACAATGTTTTCAGGGTCCAAGGTACCAATAGGTGATTGGCATGGTTACACAAGCCAAAACATCGTTAGAATCATAAAGTGGCGCCAAATCTGAATCAGCGATTTTCAGACAGGTTTTTATATATAGGATCAGGACAGAAAACAATCATGAAATCTTAACACACACACCAATAAAAAAAAAATGAAATGGTGATTTGCATAATAGGTGACCCTTTAAATGATGGTGTGTAAAACGAACCACTACTGCCTTTTATTGACATACATAGGTTTCTGTATTATGTCATGCTTTCTACTAGTTTTCCCAGAAACAGACGGCATATCAACATCCTGCTGACCTTCAGTACGCTGCACAGCAAAACTGCATGTAGATTCAGGACTACAGCGCATGTGGAACGCAGCTGTGAGTCCTGGGGGAAAGGTGGGAGCATCCAGTGATGTTACTGTGGATATTGCTAACCTGAATTTCAAGCCAATCACATGAACCAGGAAGATGGAAACCACGCAGACAATTGAGTAATTCGGAACCTACTGAAAATAACTTGCTTCTTCTGCATTTTTGTTTTCCATTAAACGCGACAGCATTAAACGTGTGACTTGAAGAGAAACAGATTTGGTTGAATATTGAGAATATTGGTTAATGGGGAACTTGAATGTTATGTTATTCTGCTTCCTTTGTACGCAACGACAGATGAGGCCAAAAATGTATGAACTTAAAATTGTCCTTAATCACATCCATTTTTCACATAGTAGTTGCTATATTTTTCTGCAAAAAGTGCATTCACGTTTGAGCCAAATAGATACGATTATTGTTGTTTTGTTTAAAGCGTATTGTAATGTCTAGATGGCTGACAGTCCCTGTTTCGGGGCGAGTGCAGAATTTTTGTTATTCTGGGGGTCGGGGGGGTCCGAAAACGCAGTCAGTATGCTGGTATGGAGGGTTAGGATTAGGTGTTAGGGTTACGGGTAATGTTGGTGAATCGAGGCGGCCTGTGTTCATCGTTCATAACATGAACGCCTGCCCCATACCATAACCACCACCACCATGTGGCCACTCGAATTCACAACATTACCTAACCTAACACCAGATACCGGACTGGGTTTTCGGACCCCCCCAGACCCCCCCAATAAAGCAAAAATGCATGTTTCAGAGTGCCCTTTTATTGTGCAGCCCTAAGCAGCACCTGTGCAATAATCCCAATATCTGTCCCTAATTCAGCATCTTGAATTATGCCCACACCTGTGAAGTGGGATGGATTATCTCGGCAAAGGAGAAGTGGCTCACTATCACAGATTTTTTCAGATTTGTGAACAATATTTGAGAGAAATGGTTATTTTGTGTATATAGAAAATGTTTTAGATCTTTGAGTTCATCTCATGAAAAATGGGAGCAAAAACAAAAGTGTTGCGTTTATATTTTTGTTCAGTGTATATTAAACTTTTTTTGAAACAGCTCTGCACAGCCACCACTGGAATCTTATCATATACATTAAATAATCCATGTAATATTAGCGTAGTCTAATCTTTATTTAATTTTGCAACCGGGCAGAAATACCAGATTTAAACAGGATGGAAAGCTGCGTAGCATTAGAATGTAGATTATGAATTTAAATATCAATGCTATAAAAAAAGCCTCTAACTGTAAAGCTATTTTGTATAACCATTGTTGCCATACATTACGTTTTAGGGAGAGAAAAAAATAATAATCCTAAAAGCACATCAACATAAAATGATGTGACCTGGTTTGTTATCTTAACCAATTTATTTGTATCTTTTCAACGCTTTTAAATTCCTTTCCTCACTGTCTACTGAGATATATATATATATATATATATATATCTATATATATATATGATTCTGGATGAGCAATAAAAGTGGGTGTGTACTGCAATGGAAGATGGATGCCTTCAAACAATGTGCACAGCGATGCAATAAACACAAATCTGTCAAACAGTGTCATATGTCCACATTGCCTCATCCCCCTCCCCCTTCATTCAGACTCCCTTACCCCCGCCCAGCTCAGGATCGTTCTCCTCGCACTCCTCCCCATCATTGGCCTCAGTGGTGCAGCGGTAGCCCTTGCTCTTCAACACGTGGCAGATCACCACCCCCAACAGGCCCAAGAGGAAGAAAACAGGCACAAGAACGAAGGCGATGTATTCCGTGCTATTCGTCACTTCTTCACCGTTTTGTGTCACAGAAGCTGTAGTCTGAGGATCTGAAGGAAGAAAGAGAGATCATGGTCAATTGTGATGCAATGGAACAAAACAAAGGAACGCCCCTGATGGCAACCTGATATCCAAAGTGAGTCTGAGGGCACATTCTGGGCCGAGCAGCTGAGAGGATTGAGCTGCTCTGAGCTGCAAAATGACAGATGTCATGTTCCCTTCATGGGTCAATCCAACCTGCTGCTGTTTCTGGACTCGACAGATCGAACTGTGTGATTTGGTGGAAGCTGTTCCACTTTTACAGCTTTGAGGACTCACTTGATTTAAATAAAATAAATGTATGCTAATTTTCAGGTTCATATGTGTATGTTGTGGCTCCACTGTGACATGTTTCCATGCTTTAATGGTTAAAAAAAATTGTTTTTCTCATATTGCCTGTGCTGCAGCCCCTCTTTTCACCCTCTGTCTGGAACCAGAGCCCAGTCTGCTCTGATTGGTTAGCTGTGTGTTGGAGGAGCGCTAGCCAATAGAAGCGCATGTGTTACATATTGATGTCTTTATATTACGGCGTAATCAAAGGAGACCAATGGAGGCGTTTCAAGCAGGTGGGGAGTGTGTGGGAGAGAAACTCCCTTAGGGATTTTAGCCTCTGCAGACCATTTAAATAACACACTACAGGAGGGGCGAAACCGAAATGAGGCCCCTTACATAACAATAAGGGTTGCAGCAGGGTTATCGATTTGTATAGTAAGTGACAGCAGTTAAGAGGGCAAAAGGACCATAAAGTTTACCACTATAGCTCGAGCTATCCTCTCCCACTCCCATCTGCCCACCCCCCTGTACACCGGATTTTAGACCCATCAAGGTGCCACATGGCTGGGGAGGATGCTGAACTCCAAATATTGCATTTTAATTCAACTTAAGACCATTATTTAACGGTACAATATGTCATTTACTTTGTTTTATCTTATCATATTGTTTTAACATTTACTTAGTGTACTTATTCCTGCATTTTTACATTTTTTACAGTGTATTTGACATAATTCTTTCCTTTTAGTCTTGAGTATCTTGTGTGTTGCACTGTTAAATGAGCTGACTGATTTCCTTGTTTAGGACTCATTTCTTGCTCTACTTTATGTCTTGGCACAGGATCAGGTCAAAGGTCAGAGAGTAGACGGTGACCTGTGCTCAGCTATGGGCTAACGCTCTCCTGGTTTCTGGAGTTGGAAACCACGTGATGCATTCCAGCCTAAAACAGTGCGGGCTTTGTCTGACTTCCTGTGCGGTGTGTGTGAGACAGAGACACACACATTAGGAGTCAGAGAAGAGACACACAGACACAGAAATGGAAGGTCGAATCTAATCACATGTTCATGGCGTATTGAAACGTACCACCACTGCGTGTATAGGCGTGTTTTTGCATACCTAACCAGGCCTCCTGATGCACACAGGCCTCTGAGCTGTCCCTTTGTCCCGATAAATACACACTGATAAAGACCTTTGTCTGCTCATGGACCGTCCTGTGTCCTATACTGTTGGTAGCTTTTACACCAGCTGGCTGCCTCACTCCCATCCCTCTCCAAATGACTCAGAATCATCCACAGGCCAATTAGCGGATTGCATTGAAAAGCATTGAAAAGAGACTAAAAGGCTTGAATAGAGTCCTGAAGGAGGATTTAGAGTTGAGTCATGAAAATCTCATAGCAACAGCTGGTGTCGTGATGAAAGTCCTTGCAGGGACAGCCAAAAGATATCTGAGAAACACACACCCACATGAACGGATTCACATAGTCATTATGTTGATTTATACAGTTCCAGGGATGTACTCAATTGCAATACTTTGAGTATAGATCGAAGCGAGAACAGAAGGTCACAATCAAATCACAGACTGCAACTGCAAATCAGAGCAAGGTGACGCAGACACCCAGCTTTTTTAATGCCAAAAAATAATAGAAATGTTTAATGTTAAGCCCCAAAGTCCCCGTCGGTGGGGGCTTTTTTTTTTTTTTCACGACACTGTGTCTCAGGGCATCTTAATATTTAAGAACCTATTAATGTGTTATACCAGATTAACGGGAAGAATCTCAGCAAACTGACTATACAAACCATTTTTACCAAAACAAAACATACGTCTCATAAGAAGCATCTAAATGACCCCTGAGCGAAAAATGCTAACGCACTTTGGCACAGAACTCAAGATAAAAAATACCCTTATTGCTTATCGTAGCTCCACATACAAGATATCCGATTAAAGCTGAGGTTCCACAGATTATTTAGGTATATAGTATCATCACTGAGTGATCCGAACTCGCGACAGGGGAAGCAAACACAGACATCACAACACGTACCTTTACGTAGATTTTACGGGAGATGGTCTCACCATAGCTGTCAATCTGATCAAAAGATACAAAAAACGCGGCTGAATCGGTTAATCCATAGGTTGATAATGTTTCTGTGGAATATTCTTTTTGCCGCGTTTTTTGTATCTTTTGATCAGATTGACAGCTATGGTGAGACCATNAGAATGCTTTTAAATAAGGTTTAATGAGATGATGGAATCAAAGCCGAACTGTATAACATAAAAAGGCACACATGCTGAAAACCTAACCCCAGAAGGGGGGTCTGGGGGGATTCTTCCCCAGGAGATTTTTTGAAATACTAACATATAAACTATACCCATTCTGGTACACTCTGAGAAGAAAATAAATAGATGTATTACGACATATTAATAATATTTTATGCCATTGTTTGTTTTTCACTTTGTTCTGACAGTTGAACTTGCTGCTCCACACAGAGAGAAGAGTAAAGAGGAGATAGTCTGTGTGAATTACTTTCAATTGTGGGTAAGGGTAGATAGCTCCCATTGTTCTGTGACCTGTCAATCATCAAACCGGGGGTCATATTTCATTATGTGTTCATTTGTATCTGAAGTTGTACCCATGGATGTATAAAGAAGAGTTCTACCGCAAAGTTATTCTCTGTGGGGACTTCCAGCAACAATCTTGATTCTGATTGGCCAGAAGACTCGAAAAAACATCAGCAAAGATGTTTTATTGAGAAGATGATCACTACGTGACAGAAGTTTTGAAAACCGTTTATGGTCTCCGGTACTTTCAGTCCAACGCCTACTGCATGCACAGCGTTAGAAAATCGGGCTTTCAAAATAAAAGTTTGACTTTTTCTCCCAAAAAAGAAAAAAAAAAAAGGAATTTTATTTTTATTTTTTATTTTTCACTCACACATCTGTGACCCACTTGAAACGGGTCCGCCACCCACTTTTGGGTCGCGACCCACCAGTTGAGAACCACTGCTATAGAACTACAAAGTTAAGCCTATTTAAAGCTAATGCGCATGCGCAATGGTGTGGCTCACTTTAAGAGAATACACCTGCATGATTCTTGCAGTTTAAGTTTGTATTTGAATGGTTTATTGTTCTTATTGTATGTCACTTTAAAAAAAAGCATAACCTAAATTAAATGTTATCTACTGTAATGCGTATGTTACTTTAGAGAAAAAGCATCAGCTAGATTAAATGTAATATAATTCATACTGCAAGTAGGCGTGCAGATACAAATGTAAGCATGAGTGTGTCCAGTAGAAGGCAGCATTGCATAACATTTACTTCTTTGGAGGGAAAACATTTGGAATATATGGTGCAATAAAACTTGAAAATGCTAGTAATAAATGTAACTTAAAAATGACATTGTTGATTTATTTGTATTCTTATTAGTTTTATTTGTGCTTCACAAGGTTAGCATCTAACGGGCTAAACCTTTCTTTGGTATCAGATCATCTGCTATTAATAGATAGTGAAGACGCAGGTTAGTGTCATCAGCTTCTCTAAACTTTGAGTGACGTCACGGAGGTCTCTGCCAATTTTGGAAGTATAGGGAAAACTATTTGACTGAGTTACAGTAAAAGGAAATAAGTGGCAGCTTGGAGTGAGGCAGCAGGGTCTTTCTCAGCTTATTTTTTGAACCTTTTGTCTTTTTCCATACATATCTTTGTAAATTAAAACCTTTTTTTTGCACATAATCCAGTTGACAGTGCTTTTTTTTAACACCACTCATTGTCCAGCATCTTATATTGATTTTTTTTTTTTAAGTTGACCGCATGAACATTTCTTGTTAGTTTTTTTGCTTCACAGATCTTCATTGCTGATGTTGTTTGGACTATCTTAAACAAAGGTTCTTTAATCACTAATCTTAATATCCCAATATCACAAATGTCACCTTTGCCTAAGGGGTTTTGCAGTGCAGTTCCCAAAGAAGAAAGTCTCTTAAATTGAGGCAACATATTTCAATGTACATACGCTTGGCTGAATAAGGCCTAGATGAAGATTTCACATCCTGTTTCAGAAAACTGAATTAGAGCTTTGCATCTTAAGAAAAGCATACTGTATGAATCATCTCTCTCTGTGCTAGCCTACAATTCTGAAATGACATTTTAAACAACTGTGACACAGGTGCTTTGCATACTGTAGATGGCGCCTTAATCTAGAGAATTATGCAAAACACTTACATTCATTTTACTCAAGGCTAATACAATATAATGCCCAAATGATGTGGTATGACTTGTAGTCAATGTTGAGCTCGTTTTCATATTTCTTGTTTAATAGCAGCTAGTGTTTATTGCAGTATTTACTTAAATGTTTTATTTAGCTGTAGAACATTTTATTTTACATTCCGTTCCGCTTGTATATCTTAGTCTATTTACATGTAGGCCTATATAGACTCCTGCATTTACTTGGTCGCTTACAACATTCTGTGCAGTAGGTTTAGCTTATTGTATTTCTTTATTTTTATATATAGTTTACTGCAATCTGCATTAAATGCACATGTACTTGTTTTATGAAATAAAACTATGTTGCAATATTAGAGGAGATTGGGACTGAAGATTTGACATTTCTACACTGTAGCTACTGTGCATATGACAATAAAGCCTTTGCATTTGTGGGAAATACATCTTCACATCAACGCATTATAAATACATCATAATTCATTTTATTTTTGTTATTTTGTATGCTCTATCACAGTATAAAAGTAACCAATGTAGTACTTGAGCGAATCTACTCTATAACAATGCTGAAACCGCTTTTTTTATGAACAACAAACCAAGAGGGAAGTAGTATGAGTGAACCCTCTTGTTCCCGCTGTCTGTGTATTACTCTTTGATAGATGGAGTTGGGGAGTACCACTTTAAGATTAGGGCGTATATGGCGTATATGCACTCTTTGGGAATCAGGAAATACGTGTATGTTTGCAGAAAGTCCCTCCATTCAGTTTGGTTTAGTTTGACAACCATAGCGACAACGGCCGGCTGTCCAAAACATCAGCAGCAGCCCTCCGGTTAGTTTCTGTCCATCAATGGCCGATACTATCGCGACTACGCGTAAGTTTGTAAGCTTTTTTCTCTTGTGTGGAAAAGTTGAATCAGTGCTGCACAGGCAAAGCCGTCATATTTTACTCAGAATGGGTATTATATATAGGCTACACTCTATGGTTTTTTCCTATTTAAAATAGTCTGAGTTTATTTAATAAGGGCACCCGTGTTTTGCTGCCAATGCAAATGCTTCTTGAAAATCTGACCACTAACATTAGCATACAAAGTTAAATCAAATTTCCTGAAAAAAAATCTACTGTGCAAAGTTACTGCGTATCAGCCCAAACTTCAAGATGTCAGTGTGTAGGAAGATGTGGAAAAAGACAAATTGACAAACTAACATTTAAGGCATGATTCTGTTGTTCCATTTATGTAGCATTATGGTGGTTTCATTTAAACACTGTTCAAGTGTTGCCTTATACACGAGATTATCATTTATCCAGCTGATGTTTTATACAGGCTTTATTTCACCCTAACTTATAGTGTAGTTTTACTACTCATAAACCTTTAATTTCTGTGTACTAAACCTGTTAAACTAAAAGAACCTCATTACATTGTTCAAAGTGCAAACTTAAAGGTCCCATGTCATGGCCATTTCTACTGATCATAATTCCATTGTTGAGGTCTACTAGAATAGATTTACATTGTGCAATTTTCCAAACTCACATTGGTTTCTCATACAGCATCTCTGTATAGTATGTGTATTCTCTCTTTGTCCTACACGGCTTGTTGGAGCTCCTGCCCAGTGCCTGTTGACAGTGCACGTGCCTGTTTAAACCATTACTAGTACAAGAGATATTCAAAGTATTTATATGTCAGAGAAGAATACTGTATGTGTCTTTGCATCAACAAATACTCAAGTCAGCAGTCTCTTTTATTCCATATTGTGTCTTTTCCTAACCTTTCAAATTCCGGGCCCGTTTCAATTTTCCATGGAGAGTCCGCAGGAGTCTTTGACTTGCAAAAGGCCAAGGCTGAATTCTCGTGCTCATTCAATTAGACCCAGTTATCCAGCACGTAGGTTTAGTATTAAAAATACACTCCAAATGTGTGTGTGTGTGTGTGCTCTGTATACACAGTGTGAGCAAACTCTATTTTCCAGCTGTCTACTCCGCAGCATCTTACACACCCTGGGTGCTTCTAAAAGTGATCTTGACACTCACAATGAGGCACATGTTGTATTTTAGGTCAGTGGTTCCCAACCTGGGTTCGGGACCCCCATAAAGGTCTCGAGAAAAAGGTTGCAAAAGGAATACAAAAGGGAATTAAAACAAACATTTCAAATCTGACCTGCGGCCCTCTGCTGACTCTCGTCACCCCTACGGCCCTACCCCTCTCCCACTTTACAGTCTATGTATCTCTATAATAAAAACCAAAACAAGAATCTTTAAAAAGAAACATTTCTCTTACACAAAATATATTTGTTTAGGCGCTATACAAGTCTCATGTATTATTATTATTATTATTAAAAGCAAAATATTCCCCTACTTCTAACCTCCCAATTGTGATGATTAGCTGCTTTTCATTAGTTTTGTGAATCAAAGATGTCAGTTTTTCACTATGTTCTCACATTATATTATTGACAACAAAAATTGTCTTCACTTTATCTGTTGTGAAAATAATAAGTAGATTACTCAATAATAAAGAGAGTGTTACTAGCATCATGTGACCGTTTTGTAATGTAGACACCACTGACCTAATTCTCGATTGTTTATTTGAATACCTGCATGAAACTGGATCTCTGCTTTCAAAAAGGATGCAGTAAATATCTCATGCCTCAAGTTGAATTAGAATTTCTACTCACTGATCAGTCTCCAGTGTCCAGTTTAACGACTCTTCAAACAAGTGCACGCTTCCTAATATGCAGAGCTGTAGAAGTTCTTTGGAAAGATCTTTGGTTTAGCCATTAGCAGCTAGCACAAGAGGAATATGTCGCCTAATGAGATCTTGGCTTCTCTCCCAGTTTCGAGAGAGTTTTCGTGTCGACTTCAGATAACTTAATAGACTAAATGGATAACGAACCATGAAAGACCGCTCCGTCATGTAATTTGAAAAGAGACGGGGTTAGTTTATGTCAGAGGGTCTCAGATTTGCTTTCTTAGTTGCTCATGAGTTCCTGAATGGGAGGAAATGGTAAGACACAAAGGGCCTTGTAAACCATACATATTCAGTGCAGAGCAGAAGGCCACAAACTCTTTATGAGATTAACATTTGACTGTATCTTGTATTTTTTTCAGCAGTTCATATTTAGTTGTTACAGCTTTTCAGTTACACCTTTTAATTGACCAATCATTTTCTTTCCATGACAAGATAAAAATTAAGGGCATTGTCTGGCGGTATAGGGCATGGCAATATATTGATAATGTATCAATATATTGTTAAATGAGACTGGATATTGTCTTAGTTTTTGGTTATTTTACAATATCATTGCTATATACTAAACGCTACATTTATGTCATTTTCAAATTGTAATCATTTGCCCACTTAGACATTATATCCTCCTTACTGATGATTATGTATAAAAGATTGTGTTGTGTGCATCATTTTAATAAAAGGACCAATTGTCAACGCTACAACATTGTGCATTATGGCTTTCGGGTTAGTTGAAAAAGTATTGTGATAAAGTCCTAATAACAAAGGCCATACTAAGACTCTTGAGATTTGGTTGAAGTCCTCAAAGTTTGACGTAGATAAAGTAGTTGGAAACGTTGATTTTGTTAACCAGCCAAACAGTGGTCAATGGGGAGGAAATCGAACCATTTCCATTTCCGCTCTCTCTGACGAGTGAATGGAGGAGAATAATGAAGTTATATTTAGTTGAGGATCGGATTACTGACTGGAAGGAGCTGAGAGGTCGATGATAAAAGGGTCAAACTCTTGCAGCCATTTCTGATTTCCTGATCTTGTTAATACATGACCAAGAAGTGCAATTTTAAATGATCCGAAACTTCAAATTAAACGGGAATTAAGGTCAGGAAACACACATGTGGTTCTATAGTGTCTGGAGGTCTTGTCTGCTAGTCTCAGCAGTAAGACACATCCTCTTTTCTGAGACGCCCTTTGGCTTAAGGCTGCGGGTCATTAGCTGTATCCACTGATACTGTAGCTAATGAGTGATGGTCTTGTGCAAAGAAAGAGCAGAAGTCATATACAGTTCAAGATTCAAATATCCCAGCACCCACCAGCAGTGTTGAAATTTACTTTGTCTTTAGTAATAGCTAAAGTAGCTTACCATTTGTGCATCTAAAGAAATATAAAAAACAAAAACACAGGGAATAGTCAGGTGTCGTGCTCCGCTCTGACTAGAATGCCGGGGAGAAGAAGTGTGTTTTAAGCATAGATTTAAAAACCCCTAGTGTCTGGGCCGACCTCACATGGAGGGGCAGATTGTTCCAGAGCCTATAGGGCCAGCTGCTGCGAAGGCTCGGTGCCCTCGGGGTTTGAGCCTGGTCTTGGGCACTACCAGCAGCAAATGGTCAGCAGACCTTAAAGCTCTGGCTGGGGTGTAGCGATGGAGGAGTTCGGCTATATAGGCCAGAGCCAGCCCATTTAGGGCTTTGAAAACAAATAAAAGGAGTTTAAAATCAATTCGGAACCGAATTGGAAGCCAGTGCAATGAGGCCAGAATTGGGGTGATGTGGTCACGCTTTTTATGGCCAGTCAGAAGACGTGCAGCTGCGTTTTAGATTAGCTGCAGGCGTTTAATTGAGGCCTGGTCCATACCCACATACAGAGCGTTGCAATAGTCCAGTCTTGAGGTTACAAAGGCATTAATAACCCTTTTTAGATCTTTAAAATATAAATACGACTTGGTTTTGGCCAATAATCTTATTTAAAAAAAAAAGCAGGTCTTGACTACGGTGCTGACCTGCTTGTCGAATTTAAAAGTGCTACTAAAGGTCACTCCAAGGTTCATGACAGAGGGGAGCCCAGAATATCAACCGGAGAGGCTGGAGGTTGGGGTCCAAAAAAGATGACCTCGGTCTTGCTCTCGTTGAGGTTAAGGAAATGTTGGCTCAGCCAGGATTTTACCTCTGTTAAGCAGTCCATCAACTGCTGTAGTGAGTGGTTGACATTTGCTTTGAGAGGCAGATAGATCTGTACATCGTCGGCGTAGCAGTGGAAGGGAATATATTGTGTTTAGTGAGAATTGAACCTGTATGTACAATACAAAGAGGATAGAGCCTTGGGGAACCCCACAGGTAAGAGGGGCTTTAGCAGAGGAGAAGGCACCTAGCTGCACTGAGAAGCTACGGTCTGTCAGGTAGGACCTGAACCATGCAAGGGCAGAGCCTGTTATGCCAGCGGACTGTTCAAGCCGTGACAACAGGATGCTATGGTCCACAGTGTCAAAGGCAGCTGTCAGGTCTAACAGCACCACAGCTTGGCTACCTGAGTCAGCGGCTAGGAGCAGATCATTAAAAACTCTTAAAAGGGCTGTTTCAGTACTGTGCATGGGTTTGAAAGAAGAACGACTGTAGCTGGACATAGATTACTTGCTCCAGAGCTTTAGATAAAAAAAGGTAGCTGGGAGATGGTCCTAACATTGGCGAGAATGGAGGGGTCGAGATTTTTATTTTTAAGTAGTGGCTGGACCACGGCATGTTTGAAGGCAGCTGGGACACATCCTGAGCTAAGAGAGGTGTTTATTAGTAATAAAATACTTGCTCCAACTGATTCCAAAATATCTCTGAGAAGGCGAGAGGCAATGCTGTCTGAGGTGCAGTTTGTCGGCCGCAGGTGCTTGACTACATCCGAGAGAGAAGAGAGGGATACAGGCTCAAAGTGGTCGAGGACAGCAGGGCACAGAAAAGGAGCAGGATCTGGGGTAGCATTAGTGTGGGCTAGCCTAAGAGCAGATACTTTTTCAATAAAAAATGTAAGAAACTTATCACAGAGTGATGGCACAATAGAAGAAACATCACAGGGATTAATGATCGAGTTGAGGACATTAAAAAGAACCTGAGGTTTATGGCTGTTTTTGGAGATTAACAGAGAAATGTGCTCTGTTTTGGCTGCTTTGACTGCCGTCTGGTAGTCGGAAATGCAAGCACGAAGGATTTCTAGGGAGACATGGAGTTTATCCTTTTTCCATTTTCTCTCTGCACGCCTGCAGGTGCGTCTGAGAGCACGAGTACAGTCATTGAGCCACGGCTCTGACAGAACTTTGGTGCGTAAAAGGAGCAACAGAATCCAGTATTAGGGTACATGTCGAGTCAAACATGGAGATAAGCTCATCAGCACTAAAAGCACAGTTCACCTCTAATTTACAGATCAGGGAAGCATTAAAAACATCAGAAAACTGTGAGGCAGTCAAGGGGTTAATTGAAGACAACGCGCAGGGGCACGTGATTCGACTCCCGCAGAAGGGATCGAGGTTGTAAACAGAACCGGTAAATGGTCTGAGATACGCGTTGCTGCACAGATTTCATCCACAGAGATGGAAAGTCCAAACGATAATACTAAATCTAAAGTGTGTCCTTTTTCGTGTGTTGGGCCAGCCACGGACTGAACGGGACCAAAAGAATCAAGGAGATTAAAAAGGTCCTTAACATCAATTTGTGAAAGAGGCTGTGGCAGCAGAGACGTCGATAACCGGGTACAGGGTAAAGCTGCAGGAAATGAAACTATCAGAAGAGTAATGCTGACCTATTCGGCTGCGCTCAGCTGCAGAGGATGTGTGTGATGTATCAAGGATTTGATATTGTAGCAGGAAATACTTTTCTCCAGAGTGAGGAAGTGGAATAATATTGTTATCTCTTGTCAAACATATTTTCTTACTGCCAGAATCACTTCTCATATTTCATCCAAATGTCATGATGAACACGGTTGCTTTTCTTCTCCAGCTTATTTGTAGACCCTCTTATTTTGGTTAATTATGAATAAACCGGACTAATGTGTTCATTTAATAGAAAGAATCAAACTTCTCAACGACAGCAGTGTTTAGAGTTGTTAATACATTTAGATAAAAGCTGACAAAGGCTCTACCATCTTAGTCGATTAGCGAATTAATCGGTCGTTTTTTGTCTTGGCCTACTAAGATTACTTCTGTGGATTTGAGCCTGTTTTTCAGGTCTCAGGCTTGAAAATTACATTCCCAGAACAAATGACTATATCTTCCCTTCTAAAAAGGTTTTTAATAANCTCATTAAACCTTTAAAGCATACTTTAGGTCTGTGAAGGGATATATGCACTGTACTTAACTTTAATTAATATTGTATGCTGAAGCATATATTACAGCACGATATTTTGTTGAATAGATTTGAGTGGTTCAAAATGTCGGGTCGCGATTTATTGACAGAGAGAAAAGTGGGTCCCGAGGCCTGAGACTGTATCTTCACATCCTGCTGAAGTCTGACAGAGAGAGACTCCCTCTGGTGGATGTTGATCAGTATTGTGTTGTCTTTGCTCCAGAGGTTTTTGTACAGAGTGTTGGTGTTTCCTGTCACTGTGGGCCTCAGAGCACAGTAGTACACAGCAGAGTCTGTCACTGCAGCAGAGGAGATCTGCAGAGGAACTGATGTCTCGTTGAGTGTAGCATCAAATCTGTCTTTCTGGAACTCTGCAGCATTCTCTTCTGTTCCATAAGTATCACGTCGCAGAATATACAAAGGCAGATCATTGACTTCTTGTTTGTACCAGAACAGATAGGGATATTTGTCAGTTGTCCTAAATGTGCAGTCAAGTGTAACTGTGTCTCCTTCAGTAGCGCTGACTTCTCCTGGTGTCTGGGTCACTGTGTCTTGTCCTTTACACTCTGGGGAAGAAGAGACCATGCAGAGGAAGAGATGAATCAATAAAGATGAAGGATTAAAGGAGAACAATCAGTAGCTTTAAACAGTTACCTAGAAACATGTTGTAGTTTCTATCTTACCAAAGGAGAGAGCAGCAAGAATAATCCACAGCCAATGTACCATCTCTACAACAAATTTTTTTGTGCTAATGAATGTTAGTGTGTTTTCTGGTGTGTATTTTAATGTGTTGTCTATATTTTATTGTGTCCCTTTTCGTCCTCAGCACGAGGCGAGACTGATCTTTCCGGTCCCTCTTCTTCACTCAAAATTCTCATCTAATTTTTGGGGATCCGACCCGGCTGGAAGTGTACATGAGAGTAGTTGGTTGCGTTAGAGGCCAAGTTCGAGGCCGATCTCGAAAGTCCAAGACTTAGGTAAAGAGGACAAATTGCGAGCCCGAGAAAAAGTGTGACGGGACTCAGGCTGACCACGAGCGTGTAACGCAGTAGCAAAGCAGTACTGCATTGGCAAACGCACGGACGGAAGTATTTCGGATGACACGCCTTTCGGGAGTGTCGACTGTGGCTGTATGTTGTTGTTACGCGGGCTAACACGAGGTCGAAGGGAGACATGGGAGAAGTCTTCTGGTCTAAGGGGGTCATCCATCGACCAGAGAAATGTCACTCTGGTTACCGACGAACAATTCAAAGAGGTAGCACACATGTTTGACCTATTTTGTCGGTCGAAGACAACAACAAGTCCTTCACTAGGGGCGGGGACGGGGGCGGTGGGGAGAGCTGCATTCGCACTGCATACCACCCGAACGAGACCGGCCTGTTAAAAATCACGAGCTTTACTTGGGCCTAGGCCTCGATTCTCCGACGAGCGACACCACACTTCTCCTTTTGGGCCACGAAAAGTTTCGAGGTCGCGGNTGATTTATGGTTGGTGCAGGTATTAAAAGGAGAATTTAAATGGGCTAAGCCTTCCCAAATAGTTGTGTCACTGCATTCTGGTAACATTAAAATATAATGTATAATGTTTGTGTCTTTGACATTAGCGCTGCTATGCAGCCACCTGACGGTGTGCAAGAGCCTGCGCAGGCATGTTTGTGTCAAGCGGCTTGTGATCGTGATGTGATAATCACATCACGATCCGACAGCGAAGCCTCGAAAATGGATATACGGACATTTTTCAAGGCAAACATTAAAATAACCAGTAATCCCGATGCCACGATGGACAAACGCCAATATAAGGTAACAACTAGTAAGCCAGGCGTTCTGGAGGCAAGCCGGGAGCCGAGCCGGGCAGTGCCGGAGGCAAGCCGGGAGCCGAGCCGGGCAGTGTGGGGATGTGTAGATATTACTGAGCCTGGATATGTATTCGGTTTTCATAATGTTTATAGAGGAGAAAGTTGACATACAGCTGTACGTTTCTCCAAACATGGTGAAGGTGTTCAGTGCTCCTCTGGGTAGAAAGAGGAAATATGTTTGTAATCAGTGGCCCTTTCTCATTTCATTAATTTCCCCTCCTCGACTCCTCGACTCCTCAACTCCTCGGTCCTCCGGTAGTGACCCAGAAATGGGTTTCAGCGCGCCATTTTGAAGGACATCTCATTTCTCTTAATGCACTTCGAGGACCGAGGATCGAGCAGGATCTCTGGAGGAGCTATAATCGAGGATACACCGGGTGTATCCTCGATTATAGCTCCTCCAGAGATCCTGCTCGATCCTCGGTCCTCGAAGTGCATTAAGAGAAATGAGATGTCCTTCAAAATGGCGCGCTGANATATATTTAAGATGTGGAAAGGTGAAAGCAACAGGTGTGACGCTTTCACTAAGTGCTAAAAAAATTCAGGGAGGAGAATAGGGTAGGAAAGAAGTGATGCCTGAGAATCAACAGCAGGGCATAAAGGAAGTGTTTAGAGCAGGGGT